ATACATAAAAGAATTCAAAGAAGATTCAAATATTATTCATAGATAGACTTGATCATAAACCCACAATTCATCGGTCTCAACAAACACACCGCAAAAAGAAGATTACATCGAATAGATCTCCACAAGAGAGGGGGAGAACTTTGTATTGAGATCCAAAAAGAGAGAAGAAGTCATCTAGCTACTAACTATGGACCCGAAGGTCTGAGGTAAACTACTCACACTTCATCGGAGGGGCTATGATGATGTAGAAGCCCTCTGTGATGACGGCCCTCTCCGGCGGAGCTCCGGAACAGGCCCCAAGATGGGATCTCGTGGATACAGAAAGTTGCAGCGGTGAAATTAGGTTTTTGGCTCCCCTTCTGATCGTTTGGGGGTACGTAGGTATATATAGGAGGAAGGAGTACGTCGGTGGAGCGCCGAGGGGCCCACGAGGCAGGGGGCGCGCCCTAGGGGGGCGACCCCCACCCTCGTGACCGCCTCTCTGATGCCTTGGCGTAGGGTCCAAGTCTCCTGGATCATGTTCGGTGAGAAAATCACGTTCCCGAAGGTTTCATTCCGTTTGGATTCCGTTTGATATTCCGTTTCTTCGAAACACTGAAATAGGCAAAAAAAAGCAATTCTGGGCTGGGCCTCCGGTTAATAGGTTAGTCCCAAAAATAATATAAAAGTGGAAAATAAAGCTCAATATAGTCCAAAACAGTAGATAATATAGCATGGAGCAATCAAAAATTATAGATACGTTGGAGACATATCAGTGCACTTGCAACTAGGACAACTACGAGCTCATTTGTGACCCGATGATAAACATGCAACTGGGACAACTACGAGCTCATTTGTGACCCGATGATAAACATGCAATTGGGACAACTACAAAACTATGAGTTTAGTTGCGAGTCGATGGTCGTCTTGCAACTGGGGCCCCGGCAAAACACACACACCCTTAGTTGTTGAGTCGATGGTCAGCCTGCAAATGAGGGGCCCTCGACAAAACACACGCGTCCTTGGTTGTTGAGTCGATGGACCCATAGAAAGACACTCCCCTCCCCTCCCCTAGTCGCGAGTCGATGGTTGGCTTGCAGTTGGGAGCCTTAGACAAACACGCACATCCTTAGTTGTGAATTGATGGTTGACATGCAACTAGGGACCTTGACAAACACACAAATGCACCTAGTTGCGAGTCAAAGGTCAGCTTGCAACTGGGGCCGTGATAAACACACACACACACACACAAGTTGCGAGTTGGATGGTCGGCTTGCAACTGGGGGCCCCGACAAACAAACACACACCTTGTTGCGAGTCGACAATAGTCTTGCAACTGGGGCCCGGACAAACACACACACCCCTAGTTGTGAATCGATGGTTGACTTGCAACTGGGGACCCTCGACAAACCCACACACACCCCTAGTTGCGAGTCAACTGTCGGCTTGCAACTGGGGGCACGGATAAGTACACACACCCCTAGTTTCGAGTTGATGGTCGTTTGCACCTTGGGGCCACAACAAAACACACACACCATTAGTTGTGAGTAGATGGTCGACATGCAGTTGGGGACCCTCTACAAACACACACACTCTTAGTTGCGAGTCGATAGTGGACATGCAGCTGTGGACCCTCAACCAACACATACACCCCTAGTTGCCAGTCGATGGTCGGCTTGCAACTGGAGACCCTCAACAAACACACACACCTAGTCGCGAGTCGATGATCGACGTGCAACTGGGGACTCTACACAACCACACAAAAGTACCCTTAGTTGCAAGTCGATGCTCGACCTGCAGCTGGGGGCACCGACAACACACACACCACCTAGTTGCAAGTCGATGGTTGACATGCAACTGGGGACCCTTGACAAATACACACACCCCTAGTTGTGAGTCGATGATCGGCTTGCAACTGGGGTCCCAACAAACGCGCGCGCGCGCACACACACACTTAGTTGCGAGTCGATGATTGACATGCAACTCCAGACCCAAACAAACTCACACATCCTTATTCATAATTTTTTTAAAATGTAAATTCAAATAAGTGTTCACAAATTAAAATTTTGTGAATTTTAGTAAGTGGTCACACACTTCAAAAAATGTTCATGTACTTAAAATATCATGAATTTGGAAAATGGGAAAAAATTAAAAAGGAGAATAACAACAAAAAGGAAAAAAGCAGCTCAAATAAATGGGACAGATGAAGGGAGACAAAGTTCCCAAATAGAGAATGAGTGAGAGCATAAGCTAACACCAGATCCTTTGTATATGGTGTCCGTTAAGTCTTCCTATTGTCCACGATCCAGAAAATACAAGCAACGATCCTCAAAAGAAAAATAACCCACGATAGCAGGCTGGCAAGAAAAATGGAAGAAGGGACCAACGAACCAACGATAAGCGGCTGCACATGACAAACAAACGGCCGACCAAAAGCTGCCTGAGATTTACATACAGGACGGACAGAGACTTGAGACACGTCCGAGATAAACAAAACGATTAACGGCCCGCCAATATTGGCGTACTAGACCGGCAAGACAAATACGACGCAGGATAACCACAAGATCAACGCCGATCCAACGGTGGAAGATTTAGATATGAGATAATTATTTTACATCTAGATATAAAATAGTAAACCCGAATTAATAGGACTACATTAAAGTGTTCCTATTTCGTATAGGATAAGACCTGGTGTCCGACACGGTGTGTGTCAGCCCCAGCCCGCGTGGCCCGTCCCCTCTTATTAAAGCCCGCCCCTTTTGTCTCTCCGGCTCTCACGTCCAAACCCATTGTTTACTGGCGTCCACAAATAATAGTGGTTCTCTTCGGCAGGTGCTAGGCAGCTCCCCCTTGCGCCCAAGGCAATCCTGATCCGCCTCCAAGGTGTCCCGTCCCCCTCGCGATTTCTTCTAGTATCTGGTAAGGAAGCCCTAGCTCCTCGCGACTGTTGTTGGTATTTGCTGCTGTTGCTGAATAATCGAATCGAAATTGAATACGAACAGAATCAGATCTCTCTGCGTCCAGATCCATCTCAGTTTACCACTTCCTTGCATTACTTGTGGTAAGTCGAGATCCATCCATGGAAGAACTGATGAAGGAAGCACACGCCCTGTTCTGCGGTGGCTGGGGTGTAAAAGAGTCTCAGGTTTTCATGAGCACGCTCCAACATCTATTAACGGCGGCGACCCAGACCGACGACCCTGACGCCGCAAAGACGAGGTGCTGGGCGACTCCCCAGCGCTGGCTACTCACGCTAGACACGACTTCGCTGCGCGCCGCGCTGTGGAACCCCTCGACCAAGAAGAAGGTCGACCTCCCATCAATGGACAAGGACTTGCCCCAGAACTGCAAGTGCCTGCTGTCGCGCGAGCCCGATTCTCGGGCGGGCTGCGTGGTGCTGGTCGTCGACGACGACGAGCCAGTGATCTGGTTCTGCCGCGTCGGAGGCGCGCAATGGAGCAGGCATGAGTACGACATCACCGTCGAAAAGCCACGGGGTTCTCATGCCGTCGTCCTGCTGAAAGACGAAGATGAACTCGCGCGCTTCTCTCGTGACGGAGAAACAGTGCCATCGGTATTCGTCCTGGAGAAACACAACTGGACAGGAGTAAGAGTATCGTCGAGTAGTGGTAATCCCGGCGGCAGCCGTTCGGAGAGGCTCCAGATACGGAGCATCGCCGCCGTCGACGGCAGGTTCTACTTCGACGTGTCCGCCTCGAAGCTCGGCGTCCTCGACTTCCTCCCGGGCCCGGTGTTCACCACGCTCGACACGGAGCGACTACGAGTCGAGCGGAGCTGCTGGGAGCTGGCCTTCTCCCACCTGGTGGAATCCCGAGGGAGGCTCTACCTGCTGGCTATGACCGGGAGTGCTCTGTCCAGCATGGAACTCTACGAGATGGATTTCTCCAAGCTCGCGTGGTCACCGGTGGATCGCGTCTACGATCAGGTCTTCTTCCTGGGCAGGCTGCGTTTCACGGCGTCGTGCTCTGCGTGGGAGCTTGGTCTGACGCGGGCGAGGCTTGCCTGCTCTGCGAAAATGCTCCCATCCGTGCTCCGTGGTACGTGGCGCTCATCCAACGATCGCACGCTGCTGCCCTTTTTTTTATTAAAAACCCCAGCAATTAAACAAAACCGGTCGGTCGTGTCTTTTAATTAAACACAGGAAAAGACCAGCCGCTCGTTTCGTCTCCTCTCTTATCCACTCACTTTCCCCACAGGCAAAGCAGTAGCTCCTCCACGGCCGGCGAACACCGCGATGTTGATCTGCTTGCTTGTCGGAGCGGGAGGGTTTGCTCCATGCTCGTCCCATCGCGGCGCTCGTGAGCGAACTGCGCACCAACCCTGCGGCCACGACGTCCCTCGCCCCGCGCGGCGCTCGTAGGCGAGCTGCGCGCCGTTCCTGAGGCCGCAGCCTCCGTCGCCCGGCGCGGCGCTCGGCGGCGAGCTGCGCGCCGTTCCTGAGGCCGCAGCCTCCGTCGCTCGGCGCTTCGCTCGTTGTCGATCTGCGCGCCGTTCCTGAGGTTGCAGCCTCCTGTCGCCGGGCGCGGCGCTCGTCGGCGAGCTGCGCGCCGTTCCTTCTCGGCGGTCACCTTCGTGGCCCTGTTTGTCGCGTTTGTCGCGCCCCAGCTACTGAGCTTCGTCCAGCACGTACCATAACATGGCTGCGAAGACTTGCCGTGGTTGAAGGTACGTCGTCCAATTACTGAAGTATATGACCGTTGTTCTTCTAATTTCTGAATCAAATGCTATTTTTGTCCGTGTGAGGTCGGTGAGATGCAAGCAACTATGCTTTTGGACAAGAACTGTGCTTTTGGTCTGACTTGATTAAGCTACGCATGTCAATGAACTAATATACATACGCCTTCTTAAATCTATGCTTTTGGACAGCAAGTATGCATTGGTCTCACTTAATTAAGTAGTGCATTCGATCAATATGCACGGACTCCCCATAAATCCAATAATATATTACAAGTTTTTAGTAAAGTAGAAAAAAAACATGAGTCTTTGATAACGATGACAGATTAAGTTGGCTTCTGTTGTTGGAAGAAGACTTGATTTTGACATGTCATTGTACCAACGGATGGCTGCAGTGGGGCATTTAATGCTGGGTGTCTTATCATCATACCAATGGGGTGCTGTAGTGAGGCATTCGGAGTTGGGTGTCCTGTCATCGTACCAACGGATGGCTGCAGTGAGGCATTTGGAGCTTGGTTCATCGTACCAATGGACGATTGCAGTGAGGCATTCAGAGCTGGGTGTCCTCTCATTGTACCAATGGTTGGTTGCAGCGAGAAATTTGGAGCTGGGTGTCCTCTCATCGTACCAAGAGACGGCAATAGTGAGGCATCCAGAGCTGAGTTGCATTGTTCTGAATAGGTATACACGTGATTTGTCGGAACTCCCAAATGACCCTGTGAGTAGTAGTACCAAAGGTTAGTGTCCATAAATCTTTAAAACGATAAAACTAAAATCTGAGTGTAGGTAGCTTATACCATTAAGCTATTGTAATGTTGCAATTCAACTGGCAATCTTTGGTCTTGTCCATACATCGCCATAGGATTTAGGATTGGGTTGTACTGTGGTAGATATGCAGGCATTTGATTCGTAAAAACCTCCGAATGACCCTATAAAACATGGTGTGATAAATCTTGTATAACTTAAGTTTTTATGTCAGATCAAGTGTGAATTTATTTATACCATTGAGGTGCCATGAGGTTGTAGTGCTACAGGATTATCTACTTTCCTTTTCCTCTTTGATTTTGCTTTCTCTAAGCCACCAATAGGTCTACTTGCTCCTTGAATAGTCTTCTCCTTCAACTTGATACCTTTTGGCTTAGCAAGCCCCTTATTTTGTTTTGAACTTGTACATGAGTTAATGTTTGGTTCTGCAAATATATATTTAAATAAAATTCAAGTTTGATAACATTATAAAACTACACACCCATATTAGCGGGTCTACTTGACCCTCGAACAGTCTTGTTTTTAACCTTGTTACCTGTTGGATTGGCAAATCCCTCATTTTGTTCTGAACTTGTAGACGAGTTAATGTTCGGGTCTGCAACTATAAAAGCAAACATAGATTAGTTTGATGAGATCATAAAACTAAACTTACAGACCTTGTGCCAAGGGAGTTACATATATCTGGATGTCTGTTTGATCCTCGAGCCGTCTTCTCCTTGACCTTCATTCCTTTTGGCTTGGTAGGCCTCTCATTTTGTTTTGAACTTGTAGTCGTGATATTGTTTGAGTCTCCAACTATAAAAGTAAATATAAATTTAAGCTTGATGAGAGCATAAAACTGAATGTACATACCTTGTGAACAAACAGAGTTACCTGTATCCGGATCAGATCTATGTTTTAGACATTTCTCCACCTCTTCTGCTAATTTCTCTGCATAATTAGCAGCCATCAAGTATGACTCTTCAGACTCTGCGGCTCGAGCAGCTATTTGGATAAACATTCTGCATAACTCTTTATAGCGTTTTGTCAGTATTGTTTTGCGGTCTTCATGCAGGTTGCAGTTGCTTGTTATATCCAAAACTTTTGCATCAATTGTCCATCTTTTCAAGATGTACTGTTGAGGGATGTGCTTGATATTATTAATGTCAAGTACCTTCAAGGAATGAGAGCAAAGAATTCCAGCAAATTCAAACTTCTTGCAACTGCAATTGACATTTTCTTCTTTTGGAAAAAATTTAACAACATGATCACGCTTTGTACCATGAAATTTTACTTTGTAAACCTTCTCCTCGGTGTCACTGTCATCACAAAGGAATGTATCATAGTTTAAGGTCCGAAGCACTTGTTCCTGAAACATCTTGAATATTGGTGGAGTATATGTAGTTGATGCTTGCCTTAACATATAGCTTTCTGCCTTCAGCTTAGGAGTACTTTGTGTTGCTTTGAAGTCACATCTCACCTCTTCAAATCTTTTATCTACAATTAGACGTTCGAAATGCTCAAAAAAAGTAAGCATGGCATACTTAGAACTAATGTAACGTTTTAGTTCGTTGTTCGTGCTTTCACTCCTTTGGGTACTACTCATGTGTGCAGAGAAAGTATTCCTGCCATATACTAGGGCCAAATGCTCCCTTTTCTCAAATAACCTTTGGAGCCATGCATTGTCCCGGAGTCCATACTTGTCAAGCATTTCATTCCATGCACTTATAAATTCATCTTCCTCCTCAATATCATAGATACAATGCTGAAAATCAGCATTGAACTTCTTGTAATCTGTAACAACTCCACCAAGATGTTTGATAGCATTTTGATTCATATGCCACACACAAAGTCTATGGTGAGAATGAGGCAGGACTGAACGGATCGCCTTAGCCATTGCCGCATCTTCGTCAGTCAGAATTGTATGTGGATGCTTTCCAGACATTACTGTTAAAAATGTTCTAAAAAGCCAAGCAAAACTTTCTGCTGTTTCATCATAGAGAAGTGCAGCACCAAACACAATTGTTTTCTTGTGATTATTTACACCAACAATTAAACCAAACGGACGCCCGTCGTCTAGTTTCCTGTATGTGGTGTCAAAACATATGACATCACCAAATAATGCATAGTCTGAGACCATTTTGGAGTCCGTCCAAAATATATTAGTTATCAAATCATCCTCATCAACTTGAATTGAATAAAAAAACTTGACATCTTCTGAAACCTTCTTCTCCATATATTCTAACACTCCACCAGTGTCACCCACCTTTGCTTTTAGTGTTCTCTTTGAGTACAAACGATTTTTCATGTTTGTGCTTATAAAGCCAAGGTTTTCAGGTCCACATGCCTCTTTCGTCATTAGATCAATAGTTGCTTTATTTGAAATGCCCACTGACTTTGCGACCTCAGCATTGGCTAGTTGAGCTTCAGTTACTTTCCTGTGTGATCTTAAGTATTGCGACATATTTCCAGTAGCAAGACTATGGTTGTGGGCTTCCTTAAATTCGTATACATAATAAATCCCATTATTAAGACTTATCTTCATACGTGCATCACAACCACATCGTGTCTCAGGCCTACTATAACTGAATTTCTCCTCTCTTTTATCTTTCGCACGAACTCCTATTAGTTCAAGTATTTTTCTTAGTCCCATCTAAAAATGCATATGACCAAAACAAGTTAGAACTAGTCCATACCTTGACGAGAACATGTGAACGTCCGTTGTTGTATTGTACTAGAATTTTTTACTTTATGTTGATTGCCTCTTCGGATGCTAAAACCCATGGAATAAGCATACTTGTTATAGAAGGAATAAGCTTCTTCTTCAGATAAAAACCGCATGCCAAGCTTTGGCACCCCTTTTTCAATTTGCTCTGTTGCATTGCTAGCTGTAGTTTCTTCGAATCCCTGTTTAAATTAGTAGTCACTTTAGCAATTGGTTCAAATACAAGGAAAAGGAGAAGAAACATGTCCGTGTTGTAAATCAACAAATAACCTTGCTATGTCTATTTATTTTGATTTCACAATGGAATGAAAAGGAGTAGGCATTCCCAACTAATCAGAGGTATGTCTTTGCCCCTTGAGCCATTACATTTCTCTTATATGTCTTTTCCCCTTGAGCCATTACATTTCTCTTATATGTCCAGCATCACTGTCAGTTTTCATTTATATATACCCATCAGTAATACAACTTTGTATTGTGTAATCTGTGCAAGACATATTGTTAACTGGATATTACGCATAGGGAGTACGAAATATTCGCTTCTGTTGTATAGGTTTATTTTGCTATGCTCTACCAGTGACAACAATCACAAAAACCTGAAAGCCATAGATCCGTAAATTGCAGGACTGGGAGAAGACATTGGATCAGAGAGAGGGAAGAACGCAATGGAAGACATAGCTTACATTTGGGGGATCTGATTCCTCATTGGTCCCAGCAAGAATTGGTGAAGACGCCATCAAGTTCCTCGTATCCCTCTGTTGGATCTATATTTGTAGATAGATTTGATGAGGTGTATGATGTGGTCTGTTTGGAGTAACTGTGTACGGGAAAAGTTCACCACCAATGTTTTGGCGCGCAAGAGTGATTTATTTCCCTCCAAATCTCTATTCTGTTGCGTTAATTACGATGGCTGAAAAAAGTCTTAGAGCGGACAGTTTAATTAAGAGACGCGGCTGGCCGGTTTTGTTTAATTGCTGGGGTTTTTAATCGAAAAAAGGCAATAGCATGTGATCGTTGGATGAGCGCCACGTACCACGGAGCACGGATGGAAGCATTTTCGCGGAGCAGGCAAGCCTCGCGCGTCTGACGCAGGGCGATGTCTATTACCGGACGAGCTGCTCAACGTTTTCTACGCTCTTGACACACGTGAAGGTGCTTCCCACTGCTTATATGGGACCGATCTGCCGGCCCCGCTGCAGGTCATACACGATGTGCTCACCACAGCTGCTGCTGGTTTCGCCATCAGCAGTGATACAAGTCTGTGTTGAACGTGTGGAGATGGTTGGCTGTAATAACAAGAAATTTAGTTCACTAGTACTCCCTTCGTTCCAAATTACTCGTCACAAAAATGAATGTATTTAGAACTAAAATACATCCAGATACATTTATTTTTGCGACGAGTAATTCGGAACGGAGGGAGTACTTGTGAATTATTCGATTCGAATGTATCAGCATAATTTTTGTGATAAATCAGTTTATGATCTTAATTAAGATTGATTGTTGGATTACAAAAATTAATTTTATTCTGAGTTTTTTATTATCAGGTTCTATCTAAGGGGTTTACGATCATTGTAGAAATCCCATTCTTTTGAAATCTGATCATTATGTTTATTTATGCTTTTTGACTGCCAGATAACAAATCAACAACATCAATCATTTTAAATATTTTGAAATCTGATCGTTGCAATACAGTATACACACGCTCTTCTACAATCTAACAACTATATTTTGCAATCAGCAAAAGTTTGGCATTACATTTTTTTATCGCATGAACCATATGAATTCCATGATCAGCTTTTCATTTGACATGGAACTATCATCAATCAACAGGTGCATCCTTTTTTCCAGAAATCAAATAGAGCAACAACCATCTCCAGAATGAACAATGGTCCCCAAATATCAAACTATAAGCATGGCAAGAAACCTTGTGCGTATGTGATATAGGCACGCAGCAAGAGGAATGTATCTATCTTTGTATCTTCAAGATGGAGTAAGATCGAACACAGAGAATGTGGCATGATGTTGTACGAAAAAAAGGTACATATACATACATAGTAGTATGAGCTACAACCGTACAAGTAACTTGTGGGTAAAACAATACAAAATACTAACCTGTGTTAGCCATTGGAGGGTGATAAAATCTAATGCATGGGAGAAGCCAACACAAACCCAACAGTACCAAGCTCAAATTCATCATCCTCGAGCAATCGCATTCATTTGGAATATTAGCATAAAGCAATCAGAAATACACCATGTTCTATAGCACAATTGCTGCAGAAGCATAATTACAAGTTTAAGTACATATCCTTCTTTTTATAAAAAAGAGGTGAAAAGGGCATAGTTACAGTAAGTGAACTCTGCACTTTGTGAAAGAATAATGAACCAGAGCAGGAAATGACAGGGGCGGACAAGTGTTGCGCGCCAAATATATGATGACACGCAATGTATCTGTTAAATACGAAATAAGTTGCTTACAATTTAAGGACAACGAACTGAATATATTGCATTAGCAAAACAGAGCACGGTAGTGTAATGTGTGTACTGTACTTGTAAGATCAGTCACTAATCTGATTCTAATCTGCTAGGAGTTTTGGCTACAACATCATATTGTAAGGTAAAAAGAGAGCTCTAAAGACGTTGTACAATCAGCCTTAAACAATCTCCCTTAGCACTGAAATCGGAAACATACACACCAACTTGTTTGATCTTGGTTTTTCTTATTTGGTCTTGATGGCTGCTAATTGTTCTTGCCCATCATAAGCCGATTATTCTTCATTTTACTGCATTGACATCTCATTGGCAGTTTTATCAACTGATCGTTTTGTAAACCTTGGTCCTTGCTCATGAACTGATTTGACCTATTTTAGAGTTAACAATATAAATATTTTAAATGGGGATGATAAATTGGTGAAGGTAAAGTATTTTATTTATTTGATAACAGACAATTATATTGAGCAGCAGACCATCGCAAACCATTATACTAAGTATCATAAAACCCCTTCTCTTAAAGTTTTATTAAGAATACTATTAGCCAAGAAGCATCTGGTCATGAAATGCAAATTAGCAACAAGTGCTTATCATAAGGACAACAGAAGAAGCATACACAAAGAAAGAAAAAACAGCTCCATGCTTTTGAAATTTGACAAAATAGGTTGGCTTTTCTAGTTCTCGTAAGTTCACAAGAGAGAACAAAAATATATGTAATCAAACGGATCATCACTTCAATATATCTGGGAAGTGAACTTTCAAAAAAAAAAACTGGGAAGTTCATTCTTACCCGTCTTGAGAAATGTTAGATTAATGTTCACTATATTAGGAGAAAAACCTGCAATGCATAATCTCAATTATATCAGTATGGCTCTTGTTTATTATCATGTAATTTACATAATCTATCCAACTAAATGTTCATTTCTGTGACATTGTAAGATTAGCAGGGATAGTTATTGATAAATTTTACAAAAACTAAGAGACATAATTAGGTTTATAATATGAAAAGTGAAAAAAAAAATCTTATCTCTTTCTGAAAGAATAAATTAAAAAAGATGAGCCAGCAAAAGATATTGATTTTGCTTTACAACTTGAACACCACAAAAGGGAACATCTTACAGAAGTTTGTAAACCACCTAAAAATGCTTGTTGTTGTACTGCTCTCATAAAAACACTTCATGTCTGCATTTACATGTTTCACTTTAGAAGATCAGTGTAAAAGGAACATTATAAAATCAAAATGCACTATGCATCACCACAGCAGAAGGAGGATGCCTGCAGCCCAACAACATTTATGTTATTTGCTTGGTCATATATGTCATAAGTTAACTGTGCAAAACTTTATAGTCGAATCTGGTCCATCTTAGAACCCACATGACCAGTTGAAAATGTGCGGTAATGATACACTTACCTCAAGCATTCAACACCAACAGGTAGCATCACCTAGCCCTTTGTCCTAAATTTTAGCTAAGTTGAAGTCCCGCAATGACCAGGTTTATCATTGGTGCCTCCCACTAAGTGTTACACAAATTGAAGTTGTAAATATCTAGAAATTATAAGCTCAAGATTGATTTTTTTGGCTAACAATACACTGATATTATGGCACCTATTTATTTATTTTGTCAAAAGTAGCAGTTTCCCTTATCGGAGTTACACCGTATCATGGGCAACCTAAAGGCAAGGATGTA